TACTGAATAAATATTCTATAAAATAGAATTGAATATTGTGATCACAGTTTATGTAACTCAAAAATTAATTTAGTTGGGGAAAAAATGTATTAATAAAAAAAATTTCTTATTAAACAAGGATTATTTTATAATCAAAAAGTTTTTTCCTATCTCCAATATTTATGGTTGTATTACAACATACCCTTACTATTCTTAACTTTAATTATCAACTATAATTGATGATAACTCAAAAACTAAAGGAAGTGGAAAAAGGTTATTAGAATAAAAAAGATTTGTTATTAAATTATGAATCTTTTGTTATCAGAAAGTATTTTGCTATTTTTTATATTTATTGATCAAATCGAACATAATCTCATTTTTTCTATATTTGTGAATAAAAGCTATTATAACTCGGAAATTAATATACTAGAGGAAGAATGATTTTAATAAAAAAAATTCTTATTAAGCATGGATTATTTTATAATTAAAAACTTTTTTCCTATCTCCAATATTTATTGTTGCATTACAACAGAACCTTACTATTCTCTACATCACTTATCAACTATAATTGATAATAACTCAAAAACTAAAGGAAATGGAAAAAAGTTATTAGAATAAAAAAGATTTCTTGTTAAATTATGAATCTTTTGTTATCAGAAAGTATTTTGCTATTTTTTATATTTATTGATCAAATCGAACATAACTCATTTTTCTGTATTTTTGAATAAAAGCTATTATAATTCGAAAATTAATATATTTGTGGAAAAATGATTTTAATAAAAAAAATTTCTTATTAAACAAGAATTATTTTATAATTAAAAAGTTTTTTCCTATCTCCAATACTTATTGTTGTATTACAACAAAACCTTTCTATTCTTAACATCACTTATCAAATATAATTGATTATAACTAAAGAACTAAAAGAAATGGAAAAAAGTTATTAGAATAAAAAAGATTTATTATTAAATTATGAATCTTTTATTATCAGAAAGTATTTTGCTATTTTTTATATTTATTGATCAAATCGAACATGATCTCATTTTTTCTACATTTTTGAATAAAAGCTATTATAACTCGAAAATGGATATACTTGGGGAAAAATGATTTTAATAAAAAAAATTTCTTATTAAGCAAGAATTATTTATAACAAAAAAGTTTTTTCCTATTTCCAACATTTATTGTTGTATTACAACAAAACTTTTCTATTCTTAACATCACTTATCAACTATAATTGATTATACCTAAAAAACTAAAGGAAATGGAAAAAAGTTATTAGAATAAAAAAGATTTCTTATTAAATTATGAATCTTTTGTTATCAGAAAGTATTTTGTAATTTTTTATATTTCTTGATCAAATCGAACATAATTTCATCTTTTCTATATTTTTCAATAAAAGCTATTATAATTCGAAAATTAATGTACTTGGGGAAAAATGATTTTAATAAAAAAGATTTCTTATTAAACAAGGATTATTTTATAATTAAAAAGTTTTTTTCTATCTCCAATATTTATTGTTTTATTACAACATAACCTTACTATTCTTAACTTCACTTATCAATTTTAATTGATAATAACTCAAAAACTAAAGGAAGTGGACAAAAATTATTAGAATAAAAAAGATTTATTATTAAATTATAAATCTTTTGTTATCAGAAAGTACTTTGCTATTTTTTATATTTATTGATCAAATCGAACATAATCTCATTTTTTCTATATTTTTGAATAAAAGCTATTATAACTCGAAAATTAATATACTTGGGGAAAAATGATTTTAATAAAAAAGATTTCTTATTAAACAAGGATTATTTTATAATTAAAAAGTTTTTTTCTATCTCCAATATTTATTGTTTTTTTACAACATAACCTTACTATTCTTAACTTCACTTATCAACTTTAATTGATAATAACTCAAAAACTAAAGGAAGTGGACAAAAATTATTAGAATAAAAAAGATTTCTTATTAAATTATAAATCTTTTGTTATCAGAAAGTATTTTCCTATTTTTTATATTTATTGATCAAATCGAACATAATCCCATTTTTTCTATATTTTTGAATAAAAGCTATTATAACTCGAAAATTAATATACTTGGGGAAAAATGATTTTAATAAAAAAAATTTATTATTAAACAAGGATTATTTTATAATTAAAAAGTTTTTTGCCTATCTCCAATACTTATTGTTGTATTACAACAAAACTTTACTATTCTTAACTTCACTTATCAACTATAATTGATAATAACTCAAAAACTAAAGGAAACTGAAAAAAGTTATTAGAATAAAAAAGATTTCTTATTAAATTATGAATCTTTTGTTATCAGAAAGTATTTTGCTATTTTTTATATTTATTGATCAAATCGAACATAATTTCATTTTTTCTATATTTTTGAATAAAAACTATTATAACTCGAAAATTAATATACTTGGGGAAAAATAATTTTAATAAAAAAAATGTATTATTAAGCATGGATTATTTTATAATTAAAAAGTTTTTTCCTATCTCCAATATTTATTGTTGTACTACAACATAACCTTACTATTGTTAACTTCACTTATCAACTATAATTGATAATAACTCAAAAACTAAAGGAAACTGAAAAAAGTTATTAGAATAAAAAAGATTTCTTATTAAATTATGAATCTTTTCTTATCAGGAAGTATTTTGTTATTTTTTATATTTATTGATCAAATCGAACATAATTTCATCTTTTCTATATTTTTCAATAAAAGCTCTTATAATTCGAAAATTAATATACTTGGGGAAAAATGATTTTAATAAAAAAAATTTCTTATTAAACAAGGATTATTTTATAATTAAAAAATTTTTTCGGATCTCCAATATTTATTGTTGTATTACAACATAACCTGACTATTCTTAACTTCACTTATCAACTTTAATTGATAATAACTCAAAAACTAAAGGAAGTGGACAAAAATTATTAGAATAAAAAAGATTTCTTATTAAATTATAAATCTTTTGTTATCAGAAAGTATTTTGCTATTTTTTATATTTATTGATCAAATCGAACATATTCTCATTTTTTCTATATTTTTGAATAAAAACTATTATAACTCGAAAATTAATATACTTGGGGAAAAATGATTTTAATAAAAAAAATTTATTATTAAGCATGGATTATTTTATAATTAACAAGTTTTTTTCTATCTTCACTGTATATTGTTGTATCACAACAGAACCTTACTATCATTAACTTTAATTAATAACTATAATTGATAACAACTCAAAATCTAAAGGAAATAATAATAAAGTTATAAGTATATATAATTCCTAAAACTATAAAACGGTACTTTTCATAATGTGTGTGATTAATTTGAAAACTATTCGAAACATACATATTCACGATTACGTGGTTAAGTGTCGCTGTAATATTTTGTATAGAACTTAATATTAACGATTACGTTTCTACTATTTTCATATAAATGACCATTAGAAATAGACCTTGAATTTATCTGTACATGCTGTGAGTTTATGCTTGTTGGATATTTATGTTATTCAATCACTTTTTACTATATTTAACGTCGTAATTAGTCATGAAGTTGTTTATACAGTTTTAGATTTAATTTGCATGGTATTTAGATTTTATATAAAATCTACATACATACTATGTCGAAAGTAATGTTTCTTATAATTTTGTACTTAACATTTCTGTTTTCCTTTATTACATCTATTACCTTTATCTTTTCTATACTTGTTAATGGGGCTTTTACCGCTTTTTCTTCGATTTCTATTATGTGGTTTCGTTTTATATTGTTGTGTTTTATGGCATATTTTCTATGGATAGTTTACTGAAAAATGGTTTATCGATACGCATCAAATACAATGGAATAACATGAACCTAAGAAATTACTTATTTACCAAGATGTTTTACAGAATTTCTTCCGCTAGTCTTAGAATAGCATCAATTAATTTCTCGATAAGACTAAAATATAAGGATATGATAAAAAAGAAAAGTCCAAAGGAGTGACAAATTAGGATAGAAGCAAAATCACAACACTCGGCTAAGATAGACAAAATATTAATAGACCCTAAGATCGTTGTATTTCTCGCAAAGTTTTTATTTATTTTGTTATGAGCATTAAAGATGTCAGCAATGTTCGCATACTCAGAAAAAAAAGTATTAATTAAACGTTAATAATTGTGTAGAACTTAAATAAAAGAAAATTTATGCTATTACGCATCCAGATTGAAAAACATACACAAATGAAACTAAAAAAACAATCTTAGTTGCAATAATAACAGTAATATATCAATTATCCAACAAAACTGCAAACATTTAGAAGGCATTTATAAGAAATTTACGATCTTGAAGGTCTTCCAACAATTTTATATGCAAATTGCACCTTTCATGTGAAAATTACACTATCGATCATAACATCTTGATGATCAATTTACCAGAAAAACAGCTCGCATCACCTATTCAATAATACATTTTTATTCGATAATAAAGTACAGGTTTGATTTGATTGAGTCACGTAATCGTGTATTGTGCGCTTAATTTAGATATATTTTTCTCATAAGAAAATTGTAAACGTTACACTACAATAATTAAGTTTTCTATCGGCATTTCAAATTGAATTTTATGAAATATTTATGCGTCGAATTAAAATTTCATTGGGAATTCTATAAAACGATCAGATATCAGGTTCCGTTACTTTTTATATTAATCTGTTTCAAACAAAACAAAATCTTTTTTAACTAATTTCCTGGTGTGTAATTATAAAAAGGACGAATCCCACTTAAATTTATTATAATGTATAAAGAAGTCGTTTTTTATTTTCTCTACAATAGGAAAATGTTAATTAATAACACCGACCCATATAAGAATCATTTCCACGCATTGTTCTAAACTGATAACGATAAAATTGCATATACTCTTTCACTTTTTAAATGCGGATGTTTAATGTCTTGGGAAGGAATTTCTAACGGTTTTTATGTAAGACTTATTACGAAAGATTAAAATTAATTAATAATAAATTTATGAATTAATTTAAATTACTTACGTTCTTCACAATTAGTTCCTTTCCATCCTTCTATACATTCCTTATCGCCGTTTGGATTGCATCTATAATGACCGAAAGGGTCATCACGAGCTCTACAGAATTTCGTACACGTTAAATTGTAGTAAAAATCATCGCATTTCACTCTTATCCTGTAAGTCAGTCTCGTTCTGGCTCCATTATGATTTAAAGTATGCCATTCTGCACTAGGATCTATCAGTCCGGAGTAAGTTGCTTCATCTATTAGGTTGGTTACTGAAACAAATTCAAATAAATATTCATTTATTTCGAAATTAATTGAACTAAAACTAAAACTAGAGCTTAGAACTAATATTAGATCTAAATTAGAAACATTCGGGTTTAGCAGTCTTAAGAGACTGAATGGAACTGTGACATGTCTGAATGTTTCTAGTTCTAGGTCTAATGCTAGTTGTAGTGACAGTAGTAGCTGGCACTAGTTAACATAAGATATCAGTATGTTGCATAGTTGCATTGAATTAAAACTAGAACTAAGTTTTTAAACTAGTTCTAGTTTTACACTAGCACTATTACTAGAACTAACACAAGACCTACAACTAGAATCATTCGGGTTTAGCCGTCTTGAGAGACATGCAGCTAAACCCGAAACTTTCTAGTTCTTGGTCTCGTGTTAGTTCTAGCTTTAGTACAATGAAAAATATACAACAATCTATCTCTGAATAACATTTAGAACTTATACTAACACTAGCATTAGAACTAATACTAAACCTAGAACTAGAAACATTAGGATTTAGCCGTCTTAAGAGACGTATGGCCAAACCCGATTGATTCTAGTTCTAGATCTAGTGTTACTTTAACTTTTCGTTCAATAAAAATATACAACAATCAAGTGCTGCATAACAATTCGTATAGACAACTCGGGGAATACCCGAGTTATATTTAAATATACTGATATATTAAATAGATTATATTATATCCGAAGTCCGTTCTAACTAAGTCGAGATTTTACTATACACTTTAAAACAGATTTACAAATAACCTTAAAAACTTTCATTTCTCCGCTTTGTGAACATAATCACATGATTACTCTGTAATAACATACAAAACACGTTGTTAAATTTCTTTTCGAACAAATATATTTTCGTATTTTCGTTACAGTCCATCAATTTACTTGAAAACGTGTTATTTTCGAAAAGAAAGTTATTATTAGTTGTATTCAAATAGAGAATTGAGGTAATAACTTTATTAAACGACTAAAAGCTTTTTATAATAAACGTTTCAGGAAGGAAGTATTTACAGAAGCATCTTTACACTTTCTAATCCCACTTAGAAGAGAAAAGATTATTAAAAGTTATTTAGAATTAGATGATTTATAATCGAAAATGTGTTGAAATCTTGAAAGGTAACCGTCGTTGATTGGATTGTGCAAAGAAGATCTACAACGAATACGTGGAGAGATCATTAATCAAAATCAATTAGACAAACGGTTATTACTGGTAGCGGATGGTTACATTGTCTCTTGTGTTAGGAAAATTCATTAACATCTACCGCTTAATGCAAATTCTTCACTCATCGGGGTTTTGGATAAATGGATAAAGGGCCTTTCACAACTTTGAAACCCACACGTTGCGAAACAAATAATAATTATCTTGTGGGAACACACCCTTTTCGCTACCTCCGTTTGTAAGCTTTTAAGAATTTCGCAAACTTCCTTTAATACTAAACGATACAAAACCAATCGTTAAAACAATAATATGTCTACCCACTATTAAAGTACGTTATAATTGGTGAAATGAAACGATATTTGAAGCCGACTTTAAGATGAAATCACATGGTATGACATAAATCTTATCTTTTCGCACAAAGACAGGTACTTTCTTTATTCATATCTGACGCAACTACCAATTTTAAAGATCATAGGATTACTACATGGGAGATCACTCAAAAGTACTATATGAAGAAGGTACGATAAGATTATGACATTTCCACAGAAAAAGTTCCAGTGGAATCAAATCTGGTGATTTTGCTAGCCATTCCATTGGCTCTACTCCTCCGATCTAACAATCGAAATACAACACGCTTATATAGGCTGGAATAGTGCCATCATAGTGGAAAGAAGCGCTATTTTGTTATAACAATAAATGCTGCTTGAAGGTTATTATGGTCGTTATGGCAGAGATAAGGTTTTTTGTAAAAAGTGCAAGTATCTTTTGCCAGTTAAGATTCCCTCAAAACGGTAGGTGCCATGAAAAGAGTCTTGTAGGAGTCATATCCACACATTTTGCTTTTGCGGATTGATGGCACAAATTTCTGTATTTATAAATAGAGAGAGAGTTATACAAAAACGGTGTAGTTTCAGTGGCTTCAATTTCTTCCCATAGAGCAATAGATTCCCCTATAGATAAGTCCCAGTTGGTGCTTTTTAGTTCAAATATGTTTTCCCCAGTTTTGAATGATTATCTCGATGGATAGGGAAACTATTTAATGTAAAGGTTATCTTCACAGATTTTGTGCAAATTGCTTTAATTCACCAAAGTGTGTGGCCAAGATTATTGGCTGTGGTAGTGTATTTGAGGTATACAGGTATAAGGTTGGACCCAGGACAATGCACTGCAAAACACCAGTTCGTACAAGCTGAAGACTTGAGAAAGGACACACCCTTTGCTGAATAAAGAAGCTTGTGAGATATTCCAAAATGCTTTCGTACAATAATTTTTTGCACCGAAGGCGTCTCTTGCAACTCTCATAATTCTGTGAACCTGATCAATTGTTCCATGTGACTCTCTGAAGCCAAGTTAGTAGTTTGGTATTATGCCTTTGAGATATGACTAAAGTTTGCTCAGCAGCATAATAGGTTGATACTAGTGGTGGAACGGATATCCGACAACTGTCCGGCCACTTTTTAAAATCAAAATATTCGGCTTTTTCCGGATATTAAAAATCTATTACTTAGTACTCCACAATAGTATATCTTTTAGGTGTTGGACACTACAGATAATAATCAAGTTCAACTCCAATAGGACTTTTTTCATTGAATACAACTTTATTTATATCAGATTTGTCATTAGCAACCTCATTGTAACAATTCCACTACGATATATAAAATCTCTTGTTGTAGTTTCGTCTAGTTTTCTTCTCTTCACTTGTAATTCATCATCACATTCATTACTAACAGAACTGTTGCTGTTATCACTTTCGATTACTAATTAAAGTATCCTCTTTTTAATGCAAAAAAGCTGTTTTGAAAAATCACTTTTAATTCTTGAGAAATACATTTTTGAAATGATCGACAATTTTTTCGAATTTATCAATTTTCACCGATTAAGTTTTAAAAATTCGTATAAAATCCAGTTCTTGGAATATGAGTATAAAAATTTCCTAAAGTGTTAATAAAAGTGTCCTCTTTTCAATGAACCAACCCGTTTTGAAAAACAACGTTTAGTTTTTGAGAAAGCAATATTTGAAGTTTTGATAAAATTTTCGATGTTGCAATTTTCATGCGTAATTTTCAAAATTCGCTATAAAATTAATTTCTTGAAGGATCTTTGTGGAAATATCACCAATTATTAATTAAAGTATTCCTCTTTTTAATGCAAAAAGCCGTTTTGAAAAATAACTTTCAGTTCTTGAGAAATAAATTTTTGAAATAATCGACAATTTTTTCGAATTTTGCAATTTTCGCCGATTAAGTTTTAAAAATTCGTATAAAATCCATTTCTTGGAATATGAGTATGAAAATTTCCCAAAGTGTTAATAAAAGTGTCCTCTTTCCAATGAACCAACCCGTTTTGAAAAATAACTTTTAGTTTTTGAGAAAACAATATTTGAAGTTTTGATAAAATTTTCGATGTTGCAATTTTCATCGATAATTTTCAAAATTCGCTATAAAATTAATTTCTTGAAGGATCTTTGTGGAAATATCACCAATTAATAACTCCTATACTTGCTTTAGAATATCTTACTAGTATTGGCATACTGATACTAAAATTCCTGATATCATCGATCATTCTTTCAACTTATCATCCAATCACTCATTCTTCTTTGTGGCTATAAACACACTGGTATCTAGAATCTTAAAGCCTTTTTTAACGAATACAAATTCAACAATTAGCAAATATTTAAAGATGTTTTGAAAAGTTCAAAATCATTTTGTAAGTAAGATTAGCTTTATATAGCTGATATTTTACGACACAATATTTTTTCATACTTTGGCTAAGGGGTTGTTGGTTCTAGATACATTGAAGTAAAAAAGACAACTATTGCGTTATGAAGTCGTGTTTGATCCTCAACACCAGTCATATCCAGAATTTTTATTCTTTCTCGTTCGGACAGATTTACTGTTTTAATAAACTGATAACGAAAACACATTCAATTAACAGAAAATAGTGTAAATAAGCACATGTTTTAATTAGTAGTTAAATGTAAGTAAATAACATTTGACAGTGTTTAAAGTATATTATAAAGTAGAAAAAATGGCTTAAAATGTGAAGAAAAGTTGATTGACTTTAAATATTGATATCTCAAGAACTAAAAGATATATTGAAAATGGTTTGGTTTCATTGAAAAGCTTATCATTTTGTCTATAAATGGTAATAATTTTGTAATTATTTATTAAAACCCCTATTTATTATGATTTCTTGAAATTGGGCGAAGAAAATCGTTTACCCTAACAATGAGAAACGCATTGTTGTGCTTAAACTTTTTTCTCAAAAACTAAACAACATTTTTATAAACGATTAATTTCATTAAAAAGTTGGCACATTTTTATATAATTTCTGAGAATTGCAAAACGATACACTAAAAAAATCGATTTTATATCTCATCTTCTCTATCTTCCTTAAAAAGTTTATGATTTTATTAACAAATTATGTTAAAATACTTAAAATTGATATTCATTAAGTGTATCTTGATTGAGTATTTAGTGTGTATCCCCTCAAGTCTTATGTAATTGGAGCAGAAGCCGGCCACACAACTCACGATAACATTAACCAAGACCCTCAGGTTACAAACGTGAGTATCCTTCGTTCATTCACAACGATTTATGAATATGAGAGTATTTAACAAAAAAATAAGTTTTATATATGAATTAAAATTAATATTTTAATAAAGTATTTGACATAAACACTTAAAGTAAATACGTCCAAGTGTCACGTAAAACTTTTAAGTACCGATCAAACATTTGTAAATTTAACGAGCATACTTAAGGTAATGGCAACGTCATCGCTGAGCGGGCGTGTTTATACCTGTACTCAAGAAACGATGATGTTCGTTCTTTCCTTTCGCAGAGATGGACATCTGTGAGCGCGTCTTCGTTTCTTGGTGGACACCTTGTCTTTAAAACATAGCTTACCCGAAGGATACAAGGCAATAAAAAATGTTATGATAGCATCGTAAATGGACGAATAAATATTGACCGTCGTCGAAGAAAATGCCTCGAGGCATTATTCAGTAATTTGTCACTCATTTCTCGGCGTCGTTATTTTAGTTCGGTCCGACGTTTATTGGACACCCGGTATGTCGATACGATTCAAGTCTTATTATGGGGTATTATTGAAATAGTCTTAAATGAGAACTTAAACGAACTCAGGTGTTAAATTATTTTGAAACGATTCGAACAAATTAATCAATCAACGTTTGTTTTTTTTGTACTTAAAATTAAGTTCTTGTTATGCAGTATATTATTTATTTTTTTAAAACGACCCTTTCCGGAAGATTTATGAGTAAACATGCATGTTACCTGCTGGGACGGAATGATTGCTGTAGTCCAAAGCCTGAAGGATCAGCGTAAACGACCTCTGCAAACAAAAAAAGAACAAAAAATCAAAAAAAGATTAATACACATTTATGTTTTGTTTAAAATTAAACGATAGCAAAAAGATTTTGAGTTTATAATCTATAATTTGCTATTATCCTTCTTTGGAGTTGATCGTTTATTTTTTTTTCGTATGTATTTAAAAGTTAACGGTCGAACTTTCGAAGAGTGTTTAATACGCATCACCTCCTGTCAGAAAAGTTGAGAAGCTCAAAGAGGCTGACCAGGAGGATGTTGCTTGTATACAGTTCGTTATATAGCATTTAAGGTGGCCCAGAATTGCTGAGTCACGATATTTTACAGTGCCGATCAAACGATAAGAAAAATAACTGCCTCGAAATGGAAGAGATCTTATTTCAAGAACGATGTATCCTAAGTGTTTTCAAAACCAATCAATTCACATAGTTATTTTAGTAATTATAGATCACTTTTATATCAAGAGGAGAAGATCGCAACTTGTTATTGCAAAACTCGAAGTTACGTTATTGTATTCTATCGATCTCGGTTTAAAACTAGAGCGGTAAAGATGTAGTTGTTGGCTTCTTTCAATTGACAAGTTTCATACATCAACGTCAACGGTTGGCTATAAAGACGAAGTTTCATCATCAGATTATGGTGCATTAAAAATCTTGACCTAAACTACACGGTTAAGCGCATCAACGATTAACACCTGCTGATAAAAAGAACATCTGTCTCTAAAACCGAACATTATTGGTAGTCTAAGCTTTTTCGTAAATATTACCCAGTCGTCTGCCGATAAAACCGTAACGTGTAAACACATCCATCCATTTCAAAGAAGTGCATTAAGAACATTTATAGCTTTCGAATTAAATAGATTGGGTAATAAATATCTCATAGGAAACGCACGGTGATAGATATTCATTAACATGGGTTAGTCACCAGGAATATATTTTAAAATTGTTGCATAAGAGACTTAGGGAATCCTCCCGGCTACAATGAACTTCGCAATCTTACCCACTTTGCTAGGATTACTCATCGGATTATGTGGGTTTTGTATCCCACATTCTAAAACTAAAACTAGCTAATCGATTCATTTTCAATGTCGAAATAGAACTAGATAGATTTCATTTAATTGAAATGATCTGACAAAAAGTGCAACAGAACAATATTAAGAATAAAATATATTAAGAATAAAATTTGGTACAACTTTTATACTGAAACTTTTTTTCTAAAACGTTCTGAATTCAGTACTCTACCAACAACAAGATGTAAAACCACGATTTCATCTAGTTTTTTACCAATTTTTCTCGATATTTATACATTTTAGAGCAAAATCGTAAAAGAGCAATATTGTTAAGAATAAAGTTTGCTACAACTTTTATACTAAAACTTTTTTTCTAAAACGTTCCAAATACCGTGTTCTACCAATAACAAGATATAAAACCACGATTTCATCTAATTTTCACCTATTGTAATTTTTTTCGATATGTATGCATCTGAGAGCAAAAGTGCAAAAGAGCAATATTATTAAGAATAAAGTTTGCTACAACTTTTATTCTAAAACTTTTTTTCTAAAACGTTCAGAATACCGTGCTGCTCTACCAACCACAAGATGTAAAACCACGATTTCATCTAATTTTTACCTATTGTAATTTTTTTCGACATTTATGCATCTGAGAGCAAAAGTGTAAAAGAGCAATATTGTTAAGAATAAAGTTTGCTACAACTTTTATACTAAAACTTTTTTTCTAAAACGTTCCGAATCCCGTGCTCTACCAACAACAAGGTGTAAAACCACGATTTCATCTATTTTTCTCGATATTTATGCATCTGAGAGCAAAAATGTAAAAGAGCAATATAGTTAAGAACAAAGTTTGCTACAACTTTTATAGAAAAAATTTTCTTCTAAAACGTTCTGAATCCAGTACTCTACCAACAAGATGTAAAACCACGATTTCATCTAATTTCACACCTATTTCAATTTTTCTCGACATTTGCATCTGAAAGGAAAAGTGTAAAAGTGCAATATTCTTAAGAATAAAGTTTGCTACAACTTTTATACCAAAACTTTGTTTCTAAAACTTTCCGAATCCCGTACTTTACCAACAACAAGATATAAACCACGATTTCATCTAGTGTTCACCTATTCCAATTTTTCTCTATATTTATGCATCTGAGAGCAAAAGTGCAAAAGAGCAATATTGTTAAGAATAAAGTTTGCTACAACTTTTATACTAAAACTTTTTTTCTAAAACGTTCCGAATACCGTACCGTGCTGCTCTACCAACCACAAGATATAAAACCAGGATTTCATCTAATTTTCACCTATTGTAATTTTTCTCGACATTTATGCATCTGAGAGCAAAAGTGTAAAAGAGCAATATTGTTAAGAAGAAAATTTTCTACAACTTTTGTACTAAAACTTTTTTCTAAAACGTTCCGAATACCGTGCTGCTCTATCAACAACAAGATGTAAAACCATGATTTTATCTAATTTTCACTTATTGTAATTTTTCTCGATATTTATGCATCTGAGAGCAAAAGTGTAAAAGAGCAATATAGTTAAGAACAAAGTTTGCTACAACTTTGATAGAAAAACTTTTCTTCTAAACCGTTCTGAATCCAGTACTCTGTCAACAAGATGTAAAACCACGATTTCATCTAATTTTCACCTATTTCAATTTTTCTCGATATTTGCATCTGAAAGCAAAAATGTAAAAGTGCAATATTGTTAAGAATAAAGTTTGCTACAACTTTTATACTAAAACTTTTTTTCTAAAACGTTCCGAATCCCGTGCTCTACCAACAACAAGATGTAAAACCACGATTTCATCTAATTTTCACCTTTTGTAATTTTTTTCGATATTTATGCATCTGAGAGCAAAAGTGTAAAAGAGCAATATTATTAAGAAGAAAATTTTCTACAACTTTTGTAATAAAACTTTTTTCTAAAACGTTCCGAACACCGTGCTGCTCTACCAACAACAAGATGTAAAACCACAATTTCATCTAATTTTCACCTATTTCAATTTTTCTCGATATTTATGCATCTGAGAGCAAAAGTGTAAAAGAGCAATATTGTTAAGAATAAAGTTTGCTACAACTTTTATACTAAAACTTTTTTCTAAAACGTTCCGAATACCGTGCTGCTCTACCAACAACAAGATGTAAAACCACAATTTCATCGAATTTTTACTTATTGTAATTTTTCTCGATATTTATGCATCTGAGAGCAAAAGTGTAAAAGAGCAAAATTGTTAGGATTAAAGTTTGCTACAACTTTTATACTAAAACTTTTTTTCTAAAACGTTCCAAATACCGTTTTCTACCAACAACAAGATGTAAAACCACGATTTCATCTAGTTTTCACCTATTCCAATTTTTCTCGATATTTATGCATCTGAGAGCAAAATCGTAAAAGAGCATTATTGTTAAGAATAAAGTTTTCTACAACTTTTATACTAAAACTTTTTTTTTAAAACGTTCAGAATACCATGCTGCTCTATCAACAACAAGATGTAAAACCACGATTTCATTTAATTTTCACCTATTGTAATTTTTCTCGATATTTATGCATCTGAGAGCAAAAGTGTAAAAGAGCAATAAAAGAGCAAAAGTGTAAGCGTTCTGAATCCCGTGTTCTATCAACAAAAAGTTGTAAAACCACGATTTCATCTAATTTTCACCTATTGTAATTTTTCTCGATATTTATGGATCTGAGAGCAAAAGTGTAAAAGAGCAATAAAAGAGCAAAAGTGTAAGCGTTCTGAATCCCGTGTTCTATCAACAAAAAGATGTAAAACCACGATTTCATCTAATTTTCACATTTTCGAACTTATGCCCGTCTTTATGCATTTGAGAGCAATATTGTTAAGAAGAAAATTTGTCTGAATCCCTTGCTTAGATTAACTATGACGTATAGATCTAGATAAGGTGATTTTTGTGTTATTTTCGTGTACGTTCGCAATATTTTGGCGTTTTAACGAAATTCGATATTTAAGTTAATCATGAAGAAATCTTATAAAGTCATCAATATCACCGGATAAACCAAAAAGAGTAAATCATGTCCGTATAAAAGATGGAAACGAATTGGCGAAGATCGTAAATTTTTCATTTCGAAACGTGCCTCTACGATTGCCATGCCGATTACCTCTTTAATTGGAAAATAATCCAGCGTCGAAGAAGTATGGATTTCTTTTTTATTTTTGTCGGTTTCCGCTCTCACATCCTTTGTATGCTCCAATATTAAATAAAAAAATTAAGAATAACACTCTTAATTACTGTATTATTAATTTTAATTCTAATAATCGATACATTCCTTAACATAACGTGTTTATCTAAATAAGAAATGAATGAAGAGAAAGTTATCGTAAAGTTCTCTTTGACATTACGAATGTTGTTTATTTATTTAATTTCCTTTCCGATGCTGTAGAGATAGTGAGTATATAAGAGAAGGCAAAAAATAAACAAATCTGTAAACCGCACCTAACTAAACGGTAAAGACATCGCGCGAGGATGTCCTCAACTTCTTTACGAACCTTCTTTACGGAAGTTTGTTTTTTTCTTATATACAAAACAGGGCAAGTGTCACTTCTGCTGATTATCAAAGCCGTTTATCTCTGCAGGAAACGTCCGTGAACGCTGCTTTACGTCACATTGTGGGGCAACGAAGCGCGTTTTTGAACGATATATACTTGCGTGTGCCAGAAGATGCTCTTCGCACAACCGGTTTTAACAGCGGCAATTACGGTTTATTGCTTTAATAAATTTCGGCCGCGTATCTCTACTCATCTCCAAGAAGAATTATTAATAGTACTTTTATTTTGTTTATTTTCAACGGGATCTCTTCGCCGTATAATTGTGTTAACTCGCGCAAAGTTACCGGAGTTGTCCGTACTTCGGGGTATAATTTCCTGACGGGTTTAATTGCGCTATATCAGGTTATGCGAGACCTTTTCGTCGTTATTGAATTAAATTTTTCGGCGATTTATGTCTATTAACACATAACTCTTTCCGACTTTATTTCTTAGTACTCAAAGGAAGGTATCTCGGTTTATCTAATTACACATCTTTAAAAATGATCCTGAGCTTTCCACTTGCTGTTAAGCGGTGCCTTTTATGGTGTTAGTAAATAACGTTAAACGACCAAAGCATAAGTAAGGTAGTAACTCCATATAACTCGAAGTAAAAGTATGTAAGTTAGTAAGCTTTAAAGCTTTCAAAGATTTATTAGTTTTCTAATATTTAAATATGGATTGGAATCTTAATTACAACAATTAATATTAAAAGGAAAATCTATTCTTAATTTTTAATTCGTTCTCGAATTTCAAATATTTGCTTTGTTTAAATTTATTTCCTGGTTCCTGAGATGTATAATTTTTGCTTCTAATTTTTTAATTAGTTATTAAGTTGCACATAATTGTCCTGGAATTCTTTGGCACTGGAATAACTAGATTTAGATGGACTCTTTACAATAAAATATCCATAAGTAAGGAGGGGTACTTCTTCAAGAATTATGACTTTGAGTTCAGACAAAGTATTATGGTGAATAGGACTGTATTCAAAGCTGATATAGACTTTATACGGAAGTATATCGATGCGGACATGGTGAAGGCATCAACCAAGACCTTTCATATAATGGAGACTACGGAGATTTTATACAGTCTTGAATAAGCCTAGATATAATGTTAGGTCTAGGATTAATGCAGACCTGATAGAGTGGATGCACAAACTATACCACACAGATTTGCCTTGATAGAAACTTCGTTACAATTTTATGCAGAGATGATGTAGACTTTATACAATGTTGTCTCTATACGGATATTATGGAAACTTGCTGCAAACATGACATTAAATTGCATTTTATGGAAACTTACTTCATTATTGGGTCAAGAGCTTTACTGGATTTTTGACGTAGACTTGATGCATATTTAGTAACAACTGAAAGAAGATTTTACATAGTCTTGAATAGATGTGTCAAAAGTGCTCTTAGATACAGTACCTAAATCCGATGTAGATATGATGCTGTTTCAATACAGGCTTGATAGAGACATGACTGAAAACTTGATACAGAGATGAAGTCGACTTTATACAGAGTTACCTCTATGTAGAGTTGATGAAGACTTTATGACTTAAGACTTGATGATGATGATTTTATAGAGGCTACTTCTATTGCATAAATCTTCTGCTAAGATTTTATGCATTTTGGAGAAGTCTTGATGCACTCCAAGATGAAGTATTGAAGCAAATCTGATATAGATATGATAAATATTAATGCAGCTTTGCTAGAACTTGTCTCTATACGTCTTTGAGTTGATAGAAACGATTTGATGTAAGGATGATGTAGACTTTTTGTACATAATTGTCTCCATATTGCTTGATGAAGATTTGTTACAAACAGAATAGACATTTAAAGTGGATTTTATGGAGGCTTACTGCGTTATATAGTAATATATTTAATGGAGATTTGATGTAGACTTGATGTAGATTTAATACGAAATGTAAGAAGATTTTCTGCAATATTGAAAAAGTCTTAATGCAATCTTAGAAGCAGATTGGATACAGATTTGATGCTGTTTTGACATATAATAATATGTCATATTCTTGATAGAAATTTCACTCTATACACATTTGACTTGATAGAACCAAGTTAAAAACACGATACAGAGCTGAGGTAGACTTTGTGCAGATTTGTTTCGATACAAGGTTAGAAATAGACTTGTTGTAGGCATCTATCACCCTACACAGTTTTGATGCAGACTTGATGGAAATTTGAGTTAATACAAGCTCCAAGATCAAGGCTAATAGAAGTATAAAGCTTATTAGAAGATTATCTTACCAACTGCATCTGATAACTTCCTTGGATTAATTGTGAATACAGAAATTATTATGGACTTGCTTCGTCATCTAAAATGCATTCAACCATCACGAAGACAGTTCATTTTTCGTTTAAATTAGAAACTCTACGTTTGTACGGGGTACAGGCTTAAATCGACTTAGAAGTCTTGACATTATCCCTTGCCTTTAACTTCTCATTGGATCAAAAATTATCTTACGAAAAGATCTTTTTATAACATTGATAACTTTGCATGAAACTTTTGATTACAATGACTGATCTCATTCTTGACAATGTCATGGTTATGTATCATCAACGAATGTTGTATTCTTTTTTGTACTTTATATCTTGTGTAAATCGTGAACTATTAGCACAACTAAATATCATTATTGTATCTAGTTTCCAAACTAGTTTCTTGGTGAAACGCTTCACAAAGTTAGTTTTCACACCTCTCTCCATACCAAGATTTTCTGCAAGCTTATCGGTTTCAACAGAAAGCAACTACAGATTCAATTATCAGAGTCTAATATGTAACTGTCATTCCTTAACTAGGTTATCAATTACTGCTATTCATCTAAACTGATTGTTTAGTGGTAACTGGCTGTGGCAAGTAGGTAAAGTTCCTTCTCGTTCTTTCAGTTTCTTGCTATAGATTGATAAAATTAGACCAACCAGAGGAAAGAAACCGAAGACAGGAGTTGACTATGTACAAAGCAAAGTGATTAATAACTGCACAACGAGATGAAACAGACTGTACGTAACAAATACACAATAGATTTAGGTTTCATCAAAGAGTGTATAATTAGGAGATTCTTGTTGTATGAAACATCTTTTAAAGTTATATGTGGAAATGGATATACTAAAACCGTCGTTGAAAATTATGATTTAAATTGTTCTAAAAGTTTATAGTTTTTAATGTTTTTAGCACAAATTCTTTTATATCTTCAAAATGATTGCTGTTATCTTTAATTCAGAATACATTTTTTCCGTAAAATTTATCAAGGAAGTTAAAAATATACTCGCCATTGTTATTTGAAAAGACATAAAGATGCTAAAATGTGTTTTAGTACAAAATAATTTTTATCTCGAGAAAGATTGGTTTTAGGACATTTTACCAACAGTATTTTTTTGTGTAAATACCATCAAATAATTCATAAATGTACCAGATATTATGATAAAGTCAGAGGCATGGATGTTACTGGGAGAAAAATGACAATATTCGAAAATTTCATAATGTTTTGTGTCTTTAGCACAAAATTTGTTATTTCTGAAACGGTAAGTGTTAGAATTTTGAACTAAGAGACATTTTTTGCACAAAATACATCAAGAAATTCAAAAATGTGCTCAAAATTGTATTTAAGTTAATAATAAAGATGATTCAGATTAATGAATAAAGACATTATGAATTTTTGTTGTTTTTGGGTGTTTTTTTAGTACAAAATAATTTTTATCTCGAGAACGATTAGTTTTAGGACATTTTACCAACAGTATTTTTTTGTGTAAATAACATCAAATAATTCATAAATGTACCAGATATTATGATAAAGTCAGTGGCATGGATGTTACTAGGTGAAAAATGAAAATATTCGAAAATTTCATGTTTTGTGTCTTTCGCACAAAATCGATGTTATCTCTGAAATGGTAAGTGTCAGAACTTTAAACTAAGGGACATTTTTTGTACAAAATACATCAAAGAATTCAATAAAGGTACTCAAAATTGTATTTAAGTTAATAATAAAGATGATTTAGATTAATGAATAAAGACATCACAAATTTTTGTTGTTTTCGGGTGTTTTTTAGTACAAAATAATTTTTATCTCGAGAATGATTAGTTTTACGATATTTTATCAACAGTACTTTTTTGTGTAAATAACATCAAATAATTCATAAATGTACCAGATATTATGATAAAGTCAGTGGCGTAGATGTTATTAGATGAGAAAAGAAAATATCCGTAAATTTCGTAATGTTTTGTGTCTTTAGCACGATATCTATGTTATTTCTGAAATGGTAAGTGTTAGAATTTTGAACTAAGAGGCATTTTTTGCACAAAATACATCAGGGAATTCAAAAATGTGCTCACAATTGTATTTAAGTTAATAATAAAGATGATTTAGATTAAAGAATGAAGACATTATCAATTTTTGTTCAGGACATTTTTCCACCAGTACTTTTTTGTGTAAAAAATATCAATTAATTCATAAATGTCCTAGAAATTATGATAAAGTCAGTGACACGTAAAGGAATAATATAGATTGGAATGGTACGAGATTACAAAACAATCATATCTTTCCTTAACAGTTTTACTACAACCGGAAAACTGAAATACACTTAAAAAACATAAAAAGAATAGTTAACACATTTCAAAACGGTTTTGGTTACCTATCGTTTTGTTCGTTTTTAAACAATCGTTATACGAACGAAAGTGGGTTATGTAAATCAGACCGTGTGGACTCGACAGACAACGAAAGAGGCTGGAGATACGCTTCCTAAACAATGCTACAACAACCGTCTCGGCGATTTAATCTTGATCTCGTCTTTTCAAGAGAACCAGATTCGCTTTTCGTATCGGAGCACAAAGAGGGTCGTCCTCGAATCCGCGGGGGATTTTTTGGTTCGATACGAGAAGGTTATTTTTAAGCGTGCCGAGTAGCCGTAAATTTGACGCGACCTGTCAAAGAGTTGTTACAGGTTCGAATATGACGTGAAACGGGGGACGACGAGGAACCACCATTAAACGTCTATTTCGGACGTACTAAATCACAGTTGAGGTAGTTAAAGTTTTATCGCTCTTTCGCCGTTTCGGATCGTTTCGCTTTATTCTCATACTGTTTCTTCCAGATGTGAACGGAAGCCGGGTTACGTTTTGGAAAAGCCAAATTTCTCATCCATCTCATGTCACTTATGTTGGCAACTATTCGGGGGTTGGTAATATGGTATTCAAATCAATTAAAAGTAATTTAGGCTTTAAATGGGATGTGTAAGTAATTAGATATTAAAGTATTTTGTTTTAGGTTAATCCGTATAAAGCAAATTGTCTTACATACGGGGTAATGTACTTATTCGTGGAGGTTACGCAACAAAAATTTCTTCTTCAACAATGTCAATTGGATTATAAAAAGGTTATTGAAAGGAGTATGATGGGCACATTCGCGCAAGGCCCTATTATAACATCATGGTTTCGTTGGTTGGATCATCATATGCCTGGTACTTCAATGCGATCTGTTATGAAAAAGATCTTTTTAACTCAAATCTTGTTAGCGCCGATAACAAATTTATCGTTTTTTATTTTTCTTGGTCTTCTGGAAGGTTCTAATAATGTTTTAGGAGATGCGATTAAAAAGGCACCAGTTGCATACTTTGGCGGGATTATGTACTGGATGCCTATAACAATAATAAATTTTCGTTATGTACCCAAATTTTATAGAGTGGTTTATAATTGTGTATTTGGTTTCTTTTGGACGAACGTTATGTTTTACATAAAGCATCACAGTGTAGAACGTAATAAGGAAGCTTGCAAAAAAGACGCTGGTTGCCGGAAGAAACAACAGTAAAAAAATGGAAATAACTAAAAAATATAAAACAGGATGATAATTTTTATAAATAAGTCCTCTTACTTTTACGTGACCGAGTAAGGCTGTAAGGTGGGGTCTTTTCAATAAGAACGATGAGATTAATAAATCTTACAAAATGCCAAGGACAACCATTCATTTTAATTATATATTTTCGTAAGGTGCAAATTAAGTGCAAGTTTTCTGGTACAGCACGAATGGTTTTTGAGATAACAACAAATTTTTTGAACCATATCCTAAAAACCCCGGATGTAACAGACAACAACCATGAGAGGGATGATTTGTTATCGTGACAAGTTTTAAGCGGACGTGATAGATAATTTTAAGCCGTACGTGATAAAAATAAAATACTCTATGTAAAAAAAAAGAATGTTATAACAAGATAAATTTGCCCAATATAAATCAAACTATTTAAATTAATTAATATTCTATATCTTTCTTATAAATATTGTATTAGTACTTTGACAGAATAAGTAATATCCTCAGAAAAGGGTCATTTCCTTGAAACGATAGCTACCTTTAAGAAGTGAAACATATCCGATTTAGTCAACAGTTTGCGCTCCATATCTCCAGGTAATTGGTAATTTCCTTCTATAAATTCAAAGTTAAACTGGTTATTTCCAATTAATAATCGTTAAGCGTCTACATGTTCCTGAAAATAAGTATCTAAATTGGTTTACGTGAAAGTGAAGAAGCGTTCGTTTATGAATCCGGATATAAATTGCTAAGAAAAGTTGGGAGATTTATGATTTTAATATCCCGCCGTCTTTCAGCGTAGCTTTATTGGGCACGAAGAAGCTCTTTGTCTTCGCTTTTGAATGGCGAAACGACGTATTTCTGTCGCCGTGCCAGGATACGGCACGGTCCGTCGAAGAATATCGTCTATTTGGCTGTCTCCCAAGAACTTTACCTGAACATCTGGCCCTTGTTACGTTGTGAAACGCCCCTTAACTTCATCGCGAACGCAAACCAAACGGAAACTATCCCCGAGATTAAGCAATTTCTCCGCACGAAATCGATATCCCGAGGCGTCGCCTCCAAAACAAACACCTCCGGGCGGGCAGCAATCAATAAACGAGACCGGGATTTACTTCAAAGCCCAAGTGTGAACTGTAATAATAGACCGGAGATTTATTATGCCCAAAAGGGAGATTCCGAATGCTGGTAGTCGTTCGGGGTCCGGCATAAAACAGAAGCAGTCGAGCCAACTCAACCGCAACTACCCTCGGGCTATATACGAATTATCCACGCAGCGGCCTCCCGTTTCGTTTTCAAACGCAGATGCCTCGCGTTCCGCTGACTCAATCTGACGACTTCGTTCGACTTGAGTGGAAAATTCTAATTCTAGATGGTTAGTCTTGGTACATAAACGTACATCTGCATTACCAATCCACTTATTCAACCAGATGTGGTCATCTAATTTTATCGTGTGCTGATTACAACTCGTTGAAATATCACTTTTGATTTGTATTAACAACAAACATCAACATCATACTAATATGCCAAAAAATAAATATTGAGTCTCGATAAGATATGTTTATGTCAATTGGGTTGGACTTTATGGACTTAATTGGTTTTAATTTGTATTGGATCAAGTTGAGGAGAGGAGAATTAAACTTAAAATTTCACCTTTATTTAAGAACTAAATAGACATAAATGGAGAGATGCGAAAGTTAATAACATCTTGGCTCAAAAGCAGTAAGATCAACTTCCTTGTTTTAGAATTGTTACAGCAAGTTATATAACGTTATCAATAGTATTCTCTTCAAAAATAGACTGCTTATAGCAAAAACAAGTAGTGGAAGGTTTGTTAAAAACTTTATTGGAACATGTTTATTGTTTTGTAGAGTTGTATTTAAGAAACCACTCCAAAGAGACTACTGGCAGAAAATTAGATAATGGTAATAGTAGGAGACTACTCACTGCTTGCAGAAAACTACTTATTATTGGGAGAAGATTAGCTATTGTTGATGGAAGACTAGATCATCCTGGTAGAAGGCTAAGTACTTATAATAACAAACTAGATAATGCTAATAGAAGACTAACTATTGATTTAAAAGAGTACTTACTGCTTCCATAAGTAGATACTGCTTATGGAAGGCTAAATCCTCATGGTGAAAGATTAAATACTTGTAATAAAATATTTGTTGGCTGTAGAAAACTAGATACTGTTGCGAGAAGCCGGGATATTGCTGACAAAAAACTATACAATACTGGTAATAGCAGATTAGATACTACCAATGGAAAATTAGATCCTTCTTATAGAAGATCCTCCTACTACTGACAGAAGACTCAAAAGAAGAAGATGAAAGTGATGGAAATCGTCATACTAACGGATGTAGATGACACCAAAAAAAGAATCTATTTGTGCCGAAAATGTTGAGATGAAAACTATTAAGTTAATGCAAACTATTTGAACATCAAGAAATTTAAGGCATTAACACAACAAGAAACGCCATTAAGGACAGAAAAAAATAAGGAGAGATGGAAATACGATATAGGAAAAAGTCATAAGCTATAAAGTAGGCAATATAAAAGACGAAGAACACAAACTGAAAAGCACATGATAACAAGAAAAAGATAAGAATAATTGTGAATTCATTATGGATTTACAATCACTTTTGTTGAGTACCATGTCAAACGTATCTAATAACCTAAGATGAATACTGTTGTCTATGGTTAATGTTAAATTTTTTAATTTATATTATAAACCATAACATTGTCTTAAAGCGTGTACTTTATACTTCAATTTAACACAAAAATCGTTTGTTAATTCCAATAAGTAAAGTAGATAGGAATATTTGGAGCTTTACATGTTTAGATGTTTCATCAATAATAAGTTTTGTTCAAAATATTGTTTTCTCCTGAATGTTATGAATTATCTTATAAACCATTATATGGTCTCAAAGAAGACACTTTAAGCTTTAATTTAACATAAAAATCGTTTGTTAGCTCCTATGCACAAAGCAGATATGATTTTTTAAAGTTTTGTATTTCTAAAGATATTTATATCAATTAATTTTTAGGAATTGTCCAAAACATTTTTTCTGCAAAATTTTTTATTTTACATTATAAATCAAAACATGGTCTTATTGCAGGTACTTTAAGCTTTAATTTCATACAAAACTCGTTTGTTAATTCCTATAAGTAAAGTAAATAGGAATATTTGGAGCTTTACATGTTTAGATGTTTCATCAATAACAAGTTTTGTCCAAAATATCGTTTTCTCCTAAATGTTATGAATTATCTTATAAACCATTATATGGTTCCAAAGAAGACACTTTAAGCTTTAATTTAACATAAAAATCGTTTGTTAGCTCCTATGCATAACGCAGATATGTTTCTTTAAAGTTTTGTATTTCTAAAGATATTTATATCAATCAATTTTTAGGAATTGTTCAAAAAATTTTTTTTCCTAAATTTTTTATTTTACATTATACATCAAAACATGGTCTTATTGCAGGTGCTTTAAGCTTTAATTTCATACAAAACTCGTTTGTTAATTCCAATAAGTAAAGTAGATAGGAATATTTGGAAGTTTACATGGTTAGATGTTTCATTAATAACAAATTTTGTTCAAAATATCGCTTTCTCCTCAATGTTATGAACTATCTTATAAACATTATATGGTCTCAAAGAAGACACTTTAAGCTTTAATTTAACTTAAAAATCGCTTGTTAGCTCCAATGCACAAAGCAGATATGTTTTTTTATAGTTTTGTATTTCTAAAGATATTTATATCAATCAATTTTTAGGAATTGTTCAAAACATTTTTTCTGCAATATTTTTTATATTACATTATAAATCAAAACATGGTTTTATTGCAGGTACTTTAAGCTTTAATTTCATACAAAACTCGTTTATTAATTCCAATAAATAAAGTAGGTACGTGTGTGAGAAATCGAAGAATAACTTATTTTAGACATTACTCATATTAGTTTCCATATAAACTGAAAAACATCTGCACTTTACTTATTGATATTGAAATCGGCTTTAGCGAATCTATTATTACCATGCACAATGTAAGTAATCCGATGATGCAAGGATTTGCCACACGAGCCGGTGCTAACAAACCCGTAAATCTAAATCGGAGTTCACGCAGTTTGGTGGGAGACTTTGTATCAAAATTCAATTAGGCTAGTAACATGCCGCGCACACGGCCCAGTCTTCGACTACATAAATAAAATTATTGCACTCGTAAATTCTGTTGGACGGACGACGATAAAATGTTAACGGACCTCTGCAGAGCTCGGGTCCGTCGTCGTTGCTTCTCCTCCACGTTTTGTGCAGCCATGCCGAAAATGCCCGTCTGGCATGTTCCTATATGTTACCCGAAGGATGCACGCCGGGAAATAAAATATTATAGCGTCGCATTCTTTCTTTCCCTTACAACGTTGTCACGTTATGTAATGTTATTTTAATTCAGCAAGGTACTTCGACGTCTGATTGATATTCAGGACCGTGACAACCATTTATTTTAGAGCTCGTTCACTTTGAACGATGGAAATTTAAAAAATCTTTGCGAAAATTCTTTGATTTAGATTTTCCGGTTAACAAATTGAAAAATTTACAAGTACCAGTTGATTTATCACTAGGAAGTAATAAAAGAACGAACCAATTTAGTTGGAAGTAAACAATGGTTTTTATTGCTACTTGAACAGGAATCAGGCCGCGTGGGAAGAAGGAAACAAACTCGCCCATCACGGTGAGCGAAAGAGAACGATTCCTCTTATTCTCTTTCGAGAGTGCAGCAGACACGTCGTTAGATGTAATAGTTTAGCATAACTGGTACTTGGTTGGTTGATTTTGAATGGACGCACGAATCTTGGGCGACAATTCAAGAAGAGTCCCGTGACCTAAAGTGTCTTAGCACCTGTTCGAGGGAGCCGGGCCGTTGACCAGCCATTATCATACGCAACCCGTCTTTCCAGTTTCTATTTCGCCGCGTCTTCTTCTTCTTCCTCACCGCACCGAAGAAGACGCTGAAGAGAAAGAGAGAAGGCATCTCCCCCTTGTCCACATTCCGACTCTCCTAATGGCCCCGCGGCTTTTCGGCCCAAACCATTAATCGATCAATAAAGGCAATAAATATGACGATTAATTAATTTAATAGATGGAGGCAGATCATTTTTTCTACTTAACGCGAAGTTGTTCGTCTTTGTATGTACCTATGTGTTGTAATTTTTTCCTTCATTTTCTCAGAATTAAACAGTTTATACTCGTGTTATTAATTCGTTGAAGTAAAACTTGAGGACCCCGGATAATGACAGGCAAGGTTTTCTTTTTGCCGACCCAATGTATTTATGACGAGTCGCCCGTAATGGGCGCCTCCGCTGTAACCTCCGCTTAAAAGCGCCGATTCACGCGATGGGCGTCTCTCGGTGTTTTCATTTCTTTTTTTATTTCAACGTCTTTACTCG